GGTAGTTGGAATGGAGTGGAATGACTTCAAGTTTCTTGTCACACCAAGGGGTGTCCAAGTCCATATATAGAGTTCGGCATAAATCTGAATGTTACCTTGAAAAAGTAATTTGTCCGGAAGAATCGGAGAATAATCTCAAAATTAGTGGACACTTTCAAAATTTGAATTGTGAGAGCAAAACAAGTAAGCCTCACAGAAAACATAGCACTCAGAAGCACTAGGAAGTAAATTGACGAGGGTTCTCTACAATAAAGTTAGATATTTTCTTCATTCAAGGAACTAGCTCGGAAGTTCCACGTAAATCTTACTGTTTCTCAGTAGGAATTTTGGAAGATTAGAATCCTTAGGAATTTTCTATGTTGGTTTTTGATTCTCAGGTTGGATTCGATAGGGATTTTTTCGAACGAATTATTCTTATGATTGAATCCTATAAGAAAAAAATTCTACAGGAATTTCTTCCTAATGAATTATTTGTACTATATTTCATAGGGAATCTAACACCACTCCAACTTCTTTTTAGAATTCATTTGTTTTCCCCTGTCACCAAACACAGTTTGCTAATCCTATAGGATATAAGTGGGCATGTCACTCCATTCATGTATTTTTTTTCTGTTCCTGCATTTTAAAATTGCTACGAATCAAAGAGGCCATGAAATTGGAAGACAAGAGGTAATACAATTAAGCACTAATTTATCCTACCAAACAACATATGTTCTATACAGCATGTCTCGTGCACCCATATCATGTACTCCACCAAACACACATCTCATCTCATCCTTGCACCGGCTCAACCAGGCCACACTCACCCAATAATCCCCATGTGATGCAGACTAGAGCCACCTAAACAACCAAACATACCCATAGTGTATGAGGCTACAAGGGAGCATGGCCCTGGCCCTAGGTACATGCTCTGAACTCAACTATTCCCACTAGCTCGGCAAATGAGTGAGTGTAGTTGTTGAGATGAGCAATTGACAATGGAGTAGAGGAGACAAACATATATAGCGAAATCTCTTTGGATAAAGTGGTATTAAGGCTCAGGTATGAAGCAAATTCTAGGACTTGGTCACAAAATTAACAGATGAATAACCAATGCGGTCACCAACCTTCTGTAAAGTTAACATGACTTATCCTTATAAAGGATGCACCTTCCATATAGTCTTCTTCAAGTAGCCTCCAA